AAAATAAACCCAAATCCGCAGTTTCTCGCCTCCTCCTCACCAGCGGCCGCTGATTGGTCGAGAGAAAAGGGCGGCGACCAATCAGCACCGTGCGCGGGAAGAGCGCCCTTGGGGGGGAAAATCTGCCCAGCGACGGCTTCTCATTGGTCCGGAGGCGCCCCGGGGAACCAATCAGAGGCAGGGATCCCCGAGACACGGCCGCCAATTCACTGAGGGCGCCCCCAAACCCCCTGAAAATCGCCCCAAAATCCCTTTTAGGACCCTTAAAATCCCCTCAGAACTCACAAAATCGCCCCAAAATCTCTTCCAGGATCCCAAAAATGCCCTCAGAGTCCCAAATTCCCCTTAAAAATCACTTCAGAAACCCCAAAATTCGCCCAAAATGCTCTCAGAGCTTCAAAATCCCCTCAGAAATCCGAAATCCCCTAAAATCCCTTCAGAGCCCCCAAATCGCCCCAAAATCCCCTCAGAGACCTCCCAAAAAAATTCCCCAAATCACTTCAAGGACTCCAAAATCCCCCCAGAAACCTCAAATGACAAAAAATTCCTTTCAAGACCCCAAAAATCCCACTCAGAACACCCAAGTTTGCCCCAAAATCTCCTCAGAGACCCCAAATCGCCCCAAAATGCCCCCAAAAATTCCCTCAGAGACCCCAAAACCGCCCCAAAATCCCTTCCATGACCCCAAAATCCCAAAATCCCTTTCAGGACCCCCCAGAATCCCACTCAGAAACCACAAAATCCACCCAAAATCCTCCTGGGACCCCCTCAAAATCCCCAAATCTCCCCAAAATCTTCTGGGCCCCCCCCAAAACAATCCCCCAAAATCACCGAACAACTGCTCGGGACCCCAAATCTGCCCCAAATCCCCCGAAATTCCCCCTCAAGGCACCCCCAAACCCTCCTGGGACCCCCTAAAAATCCCAAAATCCCCCCCATAAATGCCAAAACGCTCCAGAAAAACCCCAAACGCCCCCCAAAACCCCCTCCCAAATGCCCCCAAAATTCAAAAATCCCCCTAATATCCCAAATTTCCTCCCAAATTTCCCCCCTAAAAAATTGGGAAAAATCCCAAATCCCCCCCAAAATTCGCTAAAATCCCCCCAAAATCACCAAATTCCCCCAAATTTCCCCAAAATCCCCCCAAAATTCCCCCCGAAAAATCCCAAATCCCCCCCCAAAATGCCCCCAAAATCACCAAATTGCCCCAAATTTCCCCAAAATCCCCCCCAAAATTCCCCCCGAAAAATCCCAAATCCCTCCCCAAAATTCGCTAAAATCCCCCCCAAAATCACCAAATTCCCCCAAATTTCCCCAAAATTCCCCCCGAAAAATCCCAATTCCCCCCCCAAAATTCGCTAAAATCCCCCGCAAAATCACCAAATTCCCCCAAATTTCCCCCCAAAATCCCCCACAAAAAATCCCAATTCCCCCCCCAAAATTTGCTAAAATCTCCCCCAAAATCACCAAATTCCCCCAAATTTCCCCCCAAAATCCCCCCCGAAAAATCCCAAATCCCCCCCCAAAATCCCCCCCAAAATCACCAAATTCCCCCAAATTTCCCCAAAATCCCCCCCAGAATTCCCCCCAAACAATCCCAAATCCCCCCCCGAAATTCGCTAAAATCCCCCCCAAAATCACCAAATTCCCCCAAAACCTCCCCCCGCAATTCTCCAAAATGCCCCAAATCCCCCAAACCCCGCAAATTTCCCCCAAAATGCCCGAAACCCCCCTCAAATCCCCCTTACACATTTCCCTCTATCTCATGTATGTATGGTTTAATGTACAGATAGTGGCAGCAACACCCAACGAACGGTGATATTTGCAAATCATTCTCACCCCACAATTGTGGGGTTTGTGTTTTTCCATCTTTTTGCATTATCCCCCACGTGCAACCCGGTTTGCTGAGAAAAACAACCCCACGAATGGGTTTGTCCGTATTCGAGGCGGGATTAATCCACACAGTCTTCCCTAACAAACCTCTTATTTGTACCACTGGTGTGGGATTTCAGCACCTCAGGACTGAGGTGCAGAGTGACCGAGATAACCCTTGGGGGGTCCTGGAATTTTGCCAGAAGCGTCTGGTGGCTGGACTTTGATCCTGCGCGGGAGACGACACCTGTGTGAGGACGGGAGGATTTCACCGGGGTAAATGGTGAAGGGATGAGTTAATTAGAGTGTAAAATACAGAGTTTAGGATTTCTGTACAGGGGGCGGTCTGGAGAAGTAAGATGGAGGAATTGGGGCGTGTCCCGTCCTTCTTCTTCTTCTTCTTCTTCTTGGCCTCCATCTTCTGTGATGGTGGTGGCACTTTGGGATTGGTTATTACTAAAAGTAATGAAAAAATTGGTTATTACTGGTCAATAAGGGTGAAAGGTATTGGAAAGAATAGGTAAATATTGTTTACGTAATTTTGAGTATAAAGATAAGCGACCGCCCCGGGGGCTGGCAGTGTGCACCTGTATGAGGATGGGAGGATTTCACCGGGGTAAATGGTGAACGGATAAGTTAATTAGAGTAGTGTGCACCTGTATGAGGATGGGCGGATTTGAGTAATTTTGAGTATAAAGATAAGCGACTGTCCCGGGGGCTCGCAGTGTGCACCTGTATGAGGATGGGAGGATTTCACCGGGGATAAATGGTGAAGGGATAAGTTAATTAGAGTAGAGTGCACCTGTATGAGGATGGGAGGATTTGAGTAATTTTGAGTATAAAGATAAGTGGCCGCCCCGGGGGCTCGCAGTGTGCCCGTGGCCGGCTTGCTGTGCGGACCTCTATCGGGCAGAGAGAACATCTTTTAGATAAACAACCAATAAATACCGAAGTCCGAGAAAGACCTGAAGCCTCTTCTCGTCCTTTGGAGCGCGGGCTGCCCAAGGCCATCTCCGAGCCTTTCCAGGCCATAAAACAGCCGAGAAAAGAGACACACCACCTCCAACCTGGTCCCTGAGCAAAGACAACCCCACGCATGGGTGTGTCTGTACTCGAGGCAGAACCGATCCACACAGTCTTTCCTAACAAACCTCTGCTATGTACCACTGGTGTGGGATTTCAGCACCTCAGGACTGAGGTGCGGAGTGACCGAGACCACCCTTGTGGGTCTCGGGGGTCCTGGAATATTGCCAGAAGTGTCTGGTGGCTGGACTTCGATCCTGCACGGGAGATGACACCTGTATGAGGACGGGAGGATTTCACCGGGGTAAATGGTGAAGGGATGAGTTAATTAGAGTGTAAAATACAGGGTTTAGGTTTTCTGTACAGGGGGGGGTCTGGAGAAGTAAGATGGAGGAATTGGGGTGTGTCCTGTCCTCCTTCTTCTTCTTCTTCTTGGCCTCCATCTTCTGCGGTGGCGGTGGCACATTGGGATTGGTTATTACTAAAAGTAATAAAATAATTGGTTATTACCGGTCAATAAGGGTGAAAGGTATTGGAAAGAATAGGTAAATATTGTATACGTAATTTTGAGTATTAAGATAAGTGACCACCCCGGGGGCTGGCAGTTTGCACCTGTATGAGGACGGGAGGATTTCACCGGGGTAAATGGAGAAGGGGATAAGTTAATTAGAGTGTAAAATACAGGGTTTAGGATTTCTGTACAGGGGGGTCTAGAGAAGTAAGATGGAGGAATTGGGGCGTGTCCTGTCCTCCTTCTTCTTCTTCTTCTTCTTCTTGGCCTCCATCTACTGTGGTGCTGGTGGCACTTTGGGATTGGTTATTACTAAAAGTGCACCGGTCAATAAGGGTGAAAGGTATTGGAAAGAATAGGTAAATATTGTTTACGTAATTTTGAGTATAAAGATAAGCGACCGCCCCGGGGGCTCGCAGTGTGCACCTGTATGAGGATGGGAGGATTTCACCGGGGTAAATGGTGAACGGATAAGTCAATTAGAGTAGTGTGCACCTGTATGAGGATGGGAGGATTTGAGTAATTTTGAGTATAAAGATAAGTGACCGCCCCGGGAGCTCGCAGTGTGCCCGTGGCTGGCTTGCTATGCGGACTTCTGTCGGGCAGAGAGAACATCTTTTAGATAAACAACCAATAAACACCGAAGTCCGAGAAAGACCTGAAGCCTCTTCTCGTCCTTTTGAAGCGCGGGCTGCCCAAGGCCATCCTCGAGCCTTTCCAGGCCATAAAACAGCCGAGAGAAGGGACACACAACGTCCAACCCGGTCCCTGAGCAAAAACAACCCCACGAATGGGTTTGTCTGTACTCGAGGCGGAATCGATCCACACAGTCTTCCTTAACAAACCTTTGCTATGTTCCACTGGTGTGGGATTTCAGCACCTCAGGACTGAGGTGCAGAGTGACCGAGACAACCCTTGGGGGTCTCGGGGGTCCTGGAATATTGCCAGAAGCGTCTGGTGACAGGACTTTGATCCTGCACGGGAGACGACACCTGTATGAGGACGGGAGGATTTCACGGGGATAAATGGTGAAGGGATGGGTTAATTAGAGTGTAAAACACAAAGTTTAGGATTTCTGTACAGGGGGCGGTCTGGAGAAGTAAGATGTGGGAATTGGGGTGTGTCCCGTCCTTCTTCTTCTTCTTCTTCTTGGCCTCCATCTTCTGTGGTGATGGTGGCACTTTGGGATTAGTTATTACTAAAAGTGCACTGGTTAATAAGGGTAGAAGGTATTGGGGAAAAATGATAAATATTGTATACGTAACTTCGAGTATAAAGATAGGTGACAGCCCCAGGGGCTCTCAGTGTGTGCTCATGGCTAACTGCTGAGCAGACCTCTGTCGGGCCAAGAGAAAATCTTTTAGATAAAAAATTAATAAACACCAAGACCGAGAGAAGGTCTGAAGTCCCTTCTCGTCCTTTGAAGCGCGGGCTGTCCAAGGCCACCCCGGGCCTTTCCAGGCCTTCTAAACAGCCGAGAATCCGACAGATGATGAACTCCAAGGGTCCCAGTTTTGGGCCGATAGTCAGGACTTGGGTCAAGGGTTGAGCTCTGGCCTCATCCCCATCTCCCCTTTCTCCCGCAGGGCTCCGGGCGGCCGTGACCCTGCTGGAGTGCGGGGGGGACCTCCAGCCCCCCGGGGGATCCCTGACGTTGCTCAGCCGAGGGTCCGGGTTCAGTTTCGGGGATTATGGAATGTGCTGGATCTGCCAGAGACCCGGGCAGGCTTTGGAATACGTCGCAGGCATCTACTACAATAGCGCCAACACCTACTACGCGCCATCAGTCAAGGGCCGGTTCACGATCTCCAGGGACAACGGGCAGAGCTCGGTGACGCTGACCATGAACAACCTCAAGGATGAGGATTCCGCCGTTTATTTCTGCGCCAAGTGTGCTGCTAATAATTACCCTGAATATGCTGCTCGTAGTGACGATGCCCATGGTGTCCCCATCCCCATCTCCTCATCCCCCCCCGTCCCTGTTCCGCAGACCCTTCCCCCAAAACCCCAGCCCACACCCAGCCCTTGACCATTGATCCCAACCTTGCTCTGCCTCGGCCCCAGTTCTCACCCGCTGACCCCAAACCACAACTCCTGACACCAAATCTCCTCTTTGTGCCCCAAAACTTTGCCCTGAAGGTCAAGGTTTGGGGCCCAGGGTCCCGATTTTAGGACAAAGGTTGAGGATTCGGTCAGTGGCTACTGCTGAAGGGAGTACAAAGAGGGGATTTGGGGCAGAATCAGTTTGGGGGTTTTGGCACCGTGGTTGGTGGTGGTGGAAATGGGGAGATCTGGGACAAAGGGTCAAGAATGGGGTCAAGGGCTGAGATTTGGGTAAAGGTTCAGAGATTTGGGGACAAGATGAGCTCAGGCAAGGGCGCTGCCACCACCGGCATGGTCAATGTAAGCAGCAACAGCAGCCCAAGCAGCACCAGCAGCTTTGGCACAGAAACAGGATCCGGAATCCTCGTCCTGGAGGTTGTTCATGGTCAGCGTCACCGAACTCTGCCCGTTGTCCCTGGAGATCGTAAACCAGCCATGCACTGACGGCGCGTAGATGGCGCTGGAACCATTGCTCCTAATCCACGCGACCCATTCCAGCCCCTGCCCGGGTCTCTGGCGGATCCAGAGCATGTCAGAGCTGCCAAAACTGAACCCGGACCCTCGGCAGAGGAGGCGCAGGGAACCCCCGGGGGGCTGGAGGTGCCCCCCGCACTCCAGCAGGGTCACGGCCGCCTGGAGCCGTGCGGGAGAAAGGGCAGATGTGGATGAGGGAAAAAATCCACCCAAATGTTGATTCCTGCATGTAGATTCTGATGTTGGCCTCAAATTGCGGCACTTTCTCCTCCTCCCGATCCTGCTGGCCCTCCCAGATGGGTCCAGGTCCCTTTTTGGATCTGGTCACCCCCAGCACAGCCCACGCCCAGGTCCGGCTCCTCATCCCCATCTCGCCTTTGTCCCGCAGGGCTCCGGGGGGCCGTGACCCTGCTGGACTGCGTGGGGGACCTCCAGACACCTGAGGGGTCCATGCACCTCCTCTGCCGAGCGCCCGGGATCGATTTTGGGATTATTGTGATGGCCTGAATCCGCCAGAGACCTGGGCAGGCGCTGGAGTTCATTGCAGATATCAGCACCACTGGCAGCACGAGCTACGCGCATTCGGTCAAGGGCCGGTTCACGATCTCCAAAGATAATGGGCAGAGCTCGCTGACGCTGACCATGAACAACCTCAAGGACGAGGATTCCGGATCCTATTTCTGTGCCAAATATGCTTATACTCTTGATGGTACTTATGGTTTTGCTTCTATTGACGTGCCGCCTTTGCCCCACCCCCCGATCAGCATTGTTGGACCATCAGGGCGCAGGACGGTCGGGACAGACAGACGGACACGAGAGATCTCTGCAGCCAGGTCATCGCATTTTGGGTTTATTGCGAAGGATTAACTGCAGGGCCCTGCTGGGAGCTGCCAGGCACAGCTGGAGCAGGGCTGAGAGAAGAGAGGGGAGAGAAGATGAGACGGGAAGAGAGAAAGAGAGTAAAAAAGGTAAATGAGTAAAAGGGTGAGAGAATAGAAAGGGTAATAGAGTGAAAGAGTCAGTGAATAAAATGGTAAGAGTGTAAAAGTGTAAGAACATAAAACTCTAAGAGAATAAAAGGGTAAGAGAGTGAGGTTCCCACCACAATACAATAAATCTTCTTCTCTGTAGAATATTCTAATTCTCACTAACCAATCTGGTCCAATATACAAACCCTACAGCATTTACATACAGCCTATAAGAATCGTTTCATTACCATACTCTATTACAATTTAAACCCTAAAAACTCCTCTTTGGGCCCCTTCTGCCAAGCCTAAGACCTGCTCTTTGGAAACCCTAAAAACTCCTTTTTGGAGTAATTTTAAACCCCAAAAACTCCTCTTTGGCCCGTTCTGCCAAGCTGTAGAGTTGCTCTGACCCTTGGGCCTGTCTGCAGGCAGAGGGTGTTGTTCCATCAAAATGGGATCACTTTCAGGTAGCCACACCGTTGTTTTCCAGTTGTTCAGTCACTGAGGGATCTCAAAGCTTGCTTTCATTTCAATCTCGCTGATGGTTTCCATAGTCTCAAAATCTTTTGCCAGGCAATCCTTTTGATAAGGCTTTGCTGTTCCATCTTCCCCAACCAGCATCAGCATAAGCACCGTGACCATCGGTGTCCTCGGCACAGAAATAGGATCCGGAATCCTCGTCCTTTAGGTTGTTCATGGACAGCGTCACTGAGCTCTGCCCGTTGTCCCTGGAGATCGTGAACCGGCCCTTGAAGGAATCCGCGTACCAGGTGACGCCACCACTGCTGGTGATGGTTCCGACCCACTCCAGCCCCTGCCCGGGTCGCTGGCGGATCCAGGCCATCCCAAAACTGCCGAAACTGAACCCGGACCATCGGCACAGCAACGTCAGGAACCCCCCGGGGGGCTGGAGGTCCCCCCCGCACTCCAGCAGAGTCACGGCCGCCTGGAGCCCTGCGGGACAAAGGGGAGATGGGGATGGCGCAATGCAAAAGTCAGGCAGAGCTGTCCAAGTAATTAATGGGTGAATTGAAGCTAATTACAGGGTTTAAGGCACTTTACCATTCAGGATTCCTCTGTTGGATGTTTGGGGACAAAAAAAGGGAATTTGGGGCAAAACCAGTGAAGGTTTGGGGATGGGGGAGCAGCCGTGACCCTTCCAGAGTCCGGGGGGGACCTCCAGCCCCCAGGCGGGTCCCTGCGCCTCCTCTGCTAAGGGTCCGGGTTCAGTTTTGGGGATTATGGAATGTTCTGGATCCGCCAGAGACCTGGGCAGGGGCTGGAGTGGCTAACGGGGATCAGCAGTGGCAGTTACACCGAGTACGTGGGTTCAGTGCAGGGCAGGTGCACGATCTCCAGGGACAATGGGCAGAGCTCGGTGATGCTGACCATGAACAACCTCAAGGACGAGGATTCCGGATCCTATTTCTGCGGCAAGGCTGCTGGTGCCAGTTGGGGTAATGACGTCTCTGCTCTTGGCCTCTTCCCCTTGACTGGGTCCCCTCCTGCCCCCAGGTCCCAGACCCTTCCCGCAAATCTCAGCCCTTGACCACATTCTTGACCCTTTGCCCGAGATCTCCCCCAGTCCCAACACCACCAAACACGGAGCCGAAACCCGTGAACTAGTACTGCCCCAGACCCAAAAGTTGCACCAAAAATCGCCCGAATCTGCCCCAAATCCCCACTTTGTGCTCCCTGCACCAGTAGCCGCTGACCGAATCCTCAAACTTTGTCCCCAAATTGGGACCCTGGGCCTCAAACTCCGAACTGCAGAGCAAAGTTTTGGGGCACAAAGTGGAGATGTGGGGTCAGGAGTTGTGGTTTGGGGTCAGCGGGTGAGAATTGGGGCCGAGGCAGAGCAAGGTTGGGATCAATGGTCAAGGGCTGGGTGTGGGCTGGGGGTCTGGGGGAAGGGTCTGGGGAACAGGGAAAGGGGGTGATAAGGGGATGGGGGTGGGAAAACCTTGGGCATCGACACTACGAGCAGCATGTTCAGGGTAATTATTAGCAGCACACTTGGCGCAGAAATAAATGGCGGAATCCTCGTCCTTGAGGTTGTTCATGGTCAGCATCACCGAGCTCTGCCCGTTTTCCCTGGAGATCCTGAACCGACCCTTGACCGATGGCGCGTAGTAGGTGTTGGCACTATTGTAGTAGATGCCTGCGACGTATTCCAAAGCCTGCCCGGGCCTCTGGTGGATCCAGTACATTCCATAATCCCCAAAACTGAACCCGGACCCTCGGCAGAGGAGGCGCAGGGATCCCCCGGGGGGCTGGAGGTCCCCCCCGCACTCCAGCAGGGTCACGGCCGCCCGGAGCCCTGCGGGAGAAAGGGGAGATGGGGATGAGGAACGTATTTGGTGAAGAGTGCCCAAGGTGGCATGGCACGCTTGAAAAAGTGGTGGGATGCACGTGAGACTAGGATGATGAACTCCAAGGGTTAGAATTTGGGGCCAATAGTCAGGATTTTGGTCAAGGTTTGAGCTTTGTCCTCATCCCCATCTCCCCTTTGTCCCGCAGGGCTCCGGGCGGCCGTGACCCTGCTGGAGTTTGGGGGGCACCTCCAGCCCCCCGGGGGCTCCCTGTGCCTCCTCTGCCGAGGGTCCGGGTTCGATTTTGGCAGTTTTGTCATGTACTGGATCGTCCAGAGACCCGGGCAGGGGCTGGAATGGGTTGGAAGTATCAGCAGTGTTGGTGGCAGCACCTTCTACGCGCCATCCGTCAAGGGCCGGTTCAGGATGTCCAGGGAAAACGGGCAGAGCTCGGTGACACTGACCATGAACAACCTCAAGGACGAGGATTCCGGATCCTATTTCTGTGCCAAAGCTGCCTATAGTAATTGGGGTGCTGCTGCTGGTGTGGATGGTGTTCACCTCATCCCTATCCCTGTGTCCCCACCTGTCCCCATTCCCCAGACCCTTCCCCAATCCCCAGCCCCTGACCCCATTTCTGTCTCCCTGTCCCAGCTCGAAGCTGGCTCTGCTCCAAATCTCTGCTCTTGGCCCCAAACCTCAGCTCTTGGCTCCAACGCTCAACCAAGGTCCCCAAACCTGGGTGCAAATGGTCGAGATTTGGGGAAAATGGGCCAGATTTGGTCTGTGTCTGTGACTCAGATCCACCACTGAAGTTCTGGGCCAGAACAGGTCCAGTGTAGGGCAATGTGGGATTTAAAGGCCGAGACTGAGCTCAGGGTGAAACCGGCTGTGATTTGGGGCCAGGAGCTGAGATTTGGGGCCAGAGCAGGGCAAGGTTTGGACAAAGTGTCAGGAGTGGAGGGAAGTGTTGTGGCACGGGGACAGGGAGAAAACCATAAAAAATATTTGCAGCACCCCAAGCAGCACCATAACCATCAGCACCCCTGGCGCAGAAATACGATCCGGAATCCTCGTCCTTGAGGTTGTTCATGGTCAGCGTCACCGAGCTCTGCCCGTTCTCCCTGGAGATCGTGACAGAGCCCTTGAATGACAGCGCGTATCTGGGAGTGGCGCCATCACTGGTGACAATCGATACAAACTCCAGCCCCTTCCCGGGTCTCTGGCGGACCCAGCCCATTCCAAAACTGCCGAAAACGAACCCGGACCCTCGGCAGAGGAGGCGCAGGGACCACCCGGGGGGCTGGAGGTCCCCACCGGACTCCAGCAGGCTCATGGCCGCCCGCAGCCCTGTGGGACCAAGGGGAGATGGGGATGAGGCCAAAGCTCAACCCTTGACCCAAATCCTGAATCTTGGCCCAAAATTGGGACTCTTGGAGTTTATCACCCTCCCCCCAGGAGGATTCTACTCCTTTGTCTGGCTGGCCACACCCACTTGGGGGCCCTTGACCAATCAGAGTTTTGATTTCCATCATCTCCCCTTTGTCCCGCAGGACTCCGGGCGGCCGTGACCCTGCTGGAGTGCGGGGGGGACCTCCAGCCCCCTGGGGGTCCCTGACGTTGCTCTGCATCGGCTCTGGGTTCACTCTGGCCAATCACGACATGCTCTGGGTGCGCCAGAGACCCCGGCAGGGGCTGGAGTTTCTTGCCCACATCACCGACAATGGAGGCTACACCATCTACAATCCATCGGTCAAGGGCCAGTTCACGATCTCCAGGGACAACGGGAAGAGCTCGGTGATGCTGACCATAAACAATCTCAAGGACGAGGATTCTGGATCCTATTTCTGTGCCAGACGTCACAAGTATTGGGGAGCTGATAATGCTTTTATTGATGACGACACCAGTGGCACCACCCCCATGGTGGGCAGCAAATGTCCCCAATCTCCTGATATTCTTCTCCCAAATCCCAGCCCTACTCCTCAAATCTTGACTGTTTTCCGCCAAACTCCACCCATTCTGCCTCAAGTGTCGACCTTCCCCATAATTTGGCCCATTTAAACTAAATCTACCCCAGCTCCCAGGGCCCTAATTGGCTGAGCTGGCACAGGCAGAAATGGGAACTCAGAGAGTAAGGCCTGACCTGGAGCTCAGGGGTGAAGGTTTGGGGCCAGTGGTTGAGTTTTGGGGCAGGAGCAGGTGAGGGTTTGGGGTCAGTGCTGACCATTGGGGCAAAAGGGGGAGATTTGGGACAAAGGGTCAAGGACTGGTTCAATGCGTGAGGTTTGGGATGAAAATCAGAATTATGAGTATAAAATGATGGGAGTGGGATGTAAGGCAGGACCTTGAGACCATCAGGGCCATCGTCACCATTAGCAGCAGCACCATAACCATCAGCAGCCGTGGCACAGAAATAGGATCTGGAATCCTCGTCCTTGAGGTTGTTCATGGTCAGCGTCACCGAGCTCTGCCCTTTGTCCCTGGAGATCGTGAACCGGCCCTTTACCGATGGCGCGTACTCGGTGTAAGCACCATTGCTGTAGATCCCGGCGAGCCACTCCAGCCCCTGCCCGGATCTCTGGCGGATCCAGAACATTCCAAAACTCCCAAAATTGAACCCGGACCCTCGGCACAGCAACGTCAGGGACCCCCCCAGGGGGCTGGAGGTCCCCCCCGCACTCCAGCAGGGTCACGGCCGCCCGGAGCCCTGCGGGAAAAAGGGGAGATGGGTATGCGGCCAAAGCTCAACTCTTGACCCAAATCCTGACTCTTGGCCCCAAACTGGGACCCTTGGAGTTCATCATCCTCTTCCCAGGTGAGTCACATCCCATTTTCCAGCAGACCACACCCGCTTTGACTGCACAGCCATTTAGGTTTCTCATCCCCTTTGTCCGGCAGGGCTCCGGGCGGCCGTGACCCTGCTGGAGTGCGGGGGGGACCTCCAGCCCCCCGGAGGGTCCCTGACGGTGCTGTGCCGAGGGTCCGGGTTCAGTTTTGGGAGTTATGGAATGTACAGGATCTGCCAGAGACCCGGGATGGGGCTGGAATTCGTCGCAGGGATGTACAGCAGTGGTGGCACCACTGGCTACGTGCCATCGGTCAAGGGCCGATTCAGGATCTCCAGAGACAACGGGCAGAGCTCGGTGACGCTGACCATGAACAACCTCAAGGACGAGGATTCCGCCGTGTATTTTTGCGGAAAATCTGCTGATACTGGTGCTGGTGGTGGTGTTGCTAATAAGAGTGATGATGATGGTTGTGTCACCATCTCTGTGTCCCCCCCTGTCCCCGTTGCCCAGACCCTTCCCCCAGACTCCCAGCCCACACCCAGCCCTTGACCATCGATCCCAATCTTGCTCTGCCTCATCCCCAAGTCTTACCCGCTGACCCCAAACCACAACTCCTGACCCCAAATCTCCACTTTGTGCCCCAAAACCTTGTTATAAAATGGATACTTCAAGCCAAGGGTAAAGGTTTTAGTCCACTTTGTGGTAATGTGCAGAGAGCGGATTTTGGGCAGAACCACTCCAAGACTGGGACATGGGGACAGGAATAGGGTCCAGGCTTGGGTGGGGGACCGGGGAAAAGGAACACAGCCAAATGCAACCTAAACATGAGAGTGACCAATACCTTCAGCAGCACCCCAACCAGCAGTACCAACAACACTTCTGCCACAGAAATAGGATCCGGAATCCTCGTCCTTGAGGTTGTTCATGGTCAGCCTCACCGAGCTCTGCCCGTTTTCCCTGGAGTTCCTGAACAGACCCTGCAGAGACGGCGCGTAGTAGGTGGCACCATTGCTCCAGATTGCTGCAACCCGCTCCAGTCCCTGCCCGGGTCTCTGGCGCATCCAGCCCATCCAAAAATTCCCAAAACTGAACCCGGAGCCTCGGTAGAGGAGGCGCAGGGACCCCCCGGGGGGCTGGAGGTCCCCCCCGCACTCCAGCAGGGTCACGGCGTCTGACTCCATGAGTCAGAATGCTGAACAATTGCAAATAAATCTCTACCATATTACACTAATATTATATTTTATTACATTAATACTATATTATATCTCAATATTACTATATTACATCTTATTAATAATATATTATATCTCTTTAATACTGTATTATATCACAATAATTCTATATTATATCTCATTAATACTAAACTATATCTCATTAATACTGTATTACATCTCATTAATGCTATATCTCTTGAATTCTCTATTATATCTCATTTATGCGATATTACACCTATACTAAGGAGATACTAAAAGAATTCTGTACAAAAGACCCTAAAATATCCTGAAGAAACCCCTCGAGTGTCTGACAGAGCCAGGTCACAGCCTGGAGCCCTTTGGGCAAGGAAGCAAAACAATCCTCAGCAGCAGCCAGCGGGTGAATCCCTGGAGGGGAACGATCCCCCCGACACATTCCACATGTGCAGAAACAGCAGGAGCAGCGATGAGAGATGGGAATTGTTTCATCTTCTTCTTCTCCCTGTGCTGCTCCAGGAAAAATAATGAGAGAGAGAGACAGAGAGAGAGGGAGAGAGAGAGAGAGAGGGAGAGAGGGAGAGAGGGAGAGAGGGAGAGAGAGGGAGAGAGACAATGGTGTCTGACTCTGTGCAGGGAACGAGAATGGCACAGCCAGGCCCCGTGCCCATCTCCCCTTTGTCCCGCAGGGCTCCGGGCGGCCGTGACCCATCTGGAGTGCGGGGGGGACCTCCAGCCCCCCAGGGGGTCCCTGCGCCTCCTCTGCCGAGGGTCCGGGTTTGATTTCGGGAGAGTTGACATGTTCTGGATCCGCCAGAGACCCAGGCAGGGGTTGCAATACATCGCAAGGATCTACTACACTGGAGGTTACACCGACTATGCGCCCTTGGTCAAGGGCCAGTTCAGGATCTCCAGGGACAACGGGCAGAGCTCGGTGACGCTGACCATGAACAACCTCAAGGACGACGATTCCGCCACCTATTTTTGTGCCAAATATTACAGTAGTAGTTTTGGTGGTGGTGGTGCTGGTTATGGTGTTGATGGTGGTTGTGGTCCCAAGCCCTCTCCTCTCTGTTCCCAAATATCTCAGAATTCTCCTATGCATCCCTAAAATCCCCACCCCTGTTTCTCAAATCTTGACCATTTCCCCCTAAACTCCACCCCTGCTGCCCCAGCTTTTGGTTTCCCCCAATTTTGCCCATTTCTCCCCAGTCTGGCATTTCCCCTCTGTCCCAGTGTGGCACGGGGATCGCTCCAGGGCCCTTTGCACACAAAGCTTTTTGTGCAGCTGGCGCTCTGCCGCAGTGCCCCGAGGCTGAGCTGTCCTCTGCCAAACACAGATGTTCACAATGACCAAAACCAGGAACTTTCTGTTTCCTTTCATGCCCCGGCCGGGCCCCAGCAGCTGCCGGGGAGGAAGGGGGGGGAGGCTGCGGAGCCCCAAAATCGCGGCGTCTGATCCTCCCTCTGTCCCTCCCTTGCTCCCACCTGGGTCTTCACTTCTCCCTCAGCGGCTGCGGTATCTGGGGCTGCTCCTTGGGGCTGGGCTTGAATCCTCTCTGGGAGCTCTGGACATGGTGACGATGCTGGTGGTGGCCCCAAACCCCCATCCCTGGCTCCCCAAATGTCCCAAAATCCCCAAATCGTGCCCCAAATCCCACGCCTTGACCTCATTCTTGACCTTCTCCCCCGGTGTCAACCATCTCTGCCTCAACTCTGGACTTTCCCCCAGTTTTGCCCATTTAACCCAAATCTCCCCCAGCTCCCAGTCCCTGATTGGAGGAGGCCTGAACTGGAGGCCAGGGGTGAAGTTTTTGGGGCCAATGGTTGAGATTTGGTGCAGGAGCAGGGGAGGTTCTGGCGTCAGTGCTGACCATTGGGGCAAATGGGGGAGATTTGGGACAAAGTGTCAAGGGCTGAGATTCGGAGGGAGAGTCTGGGTTTGGGGACTGGGAGGCTCTAAAAAAAGGACTCAGAAAAAAACCACCATGACCAACATCATCCCAATCAATGTCTTTACCAGCAGCAGGAACACAACAACCAGCCCAACTTTTGGCACAGAAATAGGTGGCGGAATCCTCGTCCTTGAGGTTGTTTATGGTCAGCGTTACTGAGCTCTGCCCGTTGTCCCTCTAGATCCTGAACCGGCCCTTGACCAATGGCGCCTAGTAGATGTAAGCACCAGTGTTGCTGATGTAGGCGACCCATTCCAGCCCCTGCCCGGATCTCTGTCGAACCCAGTTCATGGCAAAATTCCCAAAATCAAACCCGGCCCATTGGCAGAGGAGGCGCAGGGACCCCCCGGGGGGCTGGAGGTTCCCCCCCGCACTCCAGCAGGGTCACGGCCGCCCGGAGCCCTGCGGGACAATGGGGAGATGGGGATCATAAACCTGATTGGTTCGGAAGGGGACAAGGGTAGGACCACCTGGGAGGGGCAGCAGGAGCAGCAGGGCCAGGAGCCGGAGGGAGCTCGAGGCCGTGGCCGTGATGTGCCGGGGTTGGGGATGGGTAATGCTGGTTTTAATTTTGAAATCAATGTGGAACACTCAGGTCAAGGTGTGCAATTAATTAATGAGAATATTGAGTTAACTTGTAGGGTTTGAGGGACCTCAGGATTCCAGAAAAATCTGATGGAGAATTGGGACCAAACCAGTGGAGTTATGAGGGAAATTGGTAAAGATTTGGGGATGGGCCCCGGGCAGCCGTGACCCTGCTGGAGTGCAGGGGGGACCTCCAGCCACCCGGGGGGTCCCTGCGCCTCTTCTGCCGAGGGTCCGGGTTCAGTTTTGGACAATTTGGGATCAGCTGGGTGTGCCAGAGACCCGGGAAGGGGCTGGAGTGGGTCGCAGGCATTGACAGCAATGGATACACCAGATACCTGTCTGTGTTCAAGGGCCAGTTCGCGACCTCCAGGGACAACGGGCAGAGCTCGGTGACACTGACCATGAACAACCTCAAGGACGAGGATTCCTGATCCTATTTCTGTGCCAAATGTGCTTCTGCTTGTTGGGGTGCTTATGTTCCTGGTGCTGCTGTTGGACCCCATCCCCATCCCTGTGTGCCCCCCCATCCCTGTTGCCCCGATCCTTCCCTCCAACCCTTGACCCCATTGGTGACCCCCACAGACCCAAATCTAGCCCATTTTCCCCAAATCTCAGCCATTTGCCCCCAGGTTTGGAGACCTAGGCAGAGACTTGGAGCCCAGAGCTGAGGTTTGGGGCCAAGAGCTGAGAATGTGGGGCAGAGCCAGCTCAGAGCTGGGACACGGGGACAGGAATGGAGTCAGGGGCTGGGGATTGGGGAAGGGTCTGGGGAATGGGGACAGGGGGGGACACAGCCATGGCGAGGCAGCAATTCCATAGGCATCATTAACAGCACCATTATCATCAGTACCCCTGGCACAGAAATAGGATCCGGAGTCCTCGTCCTTGAGGTTGTTCATGGTCAGCATCACCGAGCTCTGCCCGTTGACCCTGGAGATCGTGAATCGGCCCTTGACCGATGGACTGTAGTAGGTGTAAGCACCACTGGTCCAGATCCCCGCAACGTATTCCAGCACCTGCCTGGGTCTCTGGCGGATCCATTGCATGGGAAAACTCCCAAAACTGAACCTGGACCCTCGGCAGAGGAGGCGCAGGGACCCCCCCGGGGGGCTGTAGGTCCCCCCCGCACTCCAGCAGGGTCACGGCCACCTGGATCCCTGCGGGACAAAGGGGAGATAGGGATGAGGCCGGAGCTCAACCCTTGACCCAAATCCTAACCCTGGGCCCCAAACTGGGACCCTTGGAGTTCATCAACCTCCTCCTCCTGGGCCTGCTGGTCCTCCCAGGTGGGTCCCATTCCATTTCCCAACTGGCCAAACCCACTTTGAGTCCCGCAGCAAATCAGGTTTCCCATCCCCATCTCCCCTTTGTCCCGCAGGGCTCCGGGCGGCCGTGACCCTGCTGGAGTGCGGGGGGGACCTCCAGCCCCCCGGGAGTTCCCTGGGCCTCCTCTGCCAAGGGTCTGGGTTCAATTTTGGAAGCTACGACATGTTCTGGATCCGGCAGAGACCCGGGCAGGGGCTGGAGTTCATTGCAGGAATCTGGAACACTGGTGGTAGCACCTGGTACGCGCCGTTGGTCAAGGGCCGGTTCACGATCTCCAGGGACAACGGACAGAGCTCGGTGACGCTGACCATGAACAACCTCAAGGACGAGGATTCCGGATCCTATTACTGCGCCAAATGTTACACCAATGGTTGTGGTCCTTCTTATATTTATGCTGCTTTTATTGACATTGTCAGTGGTGGACCCACCCCAGCCGTTGAAAACCCACAAACATCCAAAAATTCCGACATTCTACCCTCAAATCTTTACTCCTGGCACTGAATCCTGAACATTTTCCCCCAACTCCCCCATCATTGCCTCACCTCTCACATTTCCATGGGGCTTTCATCATTTGGCCCAAATCTCAAAGGTTCATCCCCAAAACTCTGCCCTTTGTGCCCCAGATTTCAGCGGGGTTCACTTGTGACCATTGGCCCCAAACTCAGCTGGCTATGCCCCAAATCTCGGCTCCTGGACCCAAACCGCAGCTCTTGGCTCCAAGTCCCAACCAATGTCCCAAAACCTGGGTGCAAATGGTCGAGATTTGGGAAAAACTGCCCAGATTTGGGTCCGTGGGGGGTCACCAATGGGGTCAAGGGCTGGAGGGAAGGACCTGGGGAACAAGGATGGGGACAGGACTAAAATTGAACCAGCAGCATGAGCCTCCCAACCCCAACCATCATAGGCGTTTTTGGCAGAGAAATAGGATCCGGAATCCTCGTCCTTGAGGTTGTTCATGGTCAGCGTCACCGAGCTCTGCCCATTGTCCCTGGAGATCATGACCCAGCCCTTGACCGATGGCGCGTATCTGGGGGTGGAACCATCACCGTTGATCCCCGCAACGTATTCCAGGCCCAGCCCAGGTCTCTGGTGGATCCAGAACATTGCAGATTTTGTGAAATTGAAGCCAGAGGCGTGGCACACCAGCGTCAGGGACTCCCCTTGGGGGCTGGAGGTCCCCCCCGCACTCCAGCAGGCTCACGGCCTCCCTGAGGCCTGCGGGACAAAGGGGAGATGGGGATGGGGAGATACAAAAGTCAGGCTGAGGATCCCAATTAATTATTTGGTGGATTGGGGCTGTTTGCTGGGTTGAAGGCACTTTACCATACAGGAAAACCCTGATGGAGATTTGGGGAGAAACAAAGGGAATTGGGGGCAAAACCAGTGAAGGTTTGGGGATGGGGGAGCTGCCGTGACCCTGCTGGAGTGCGGGGGGAACCTCCAGCCCCCCGGGGGGTCCCTGCGCCTCCTCTGCCGAAGGGCCGGGTTCAGTTTTGGGGGTTATGCCATGATCTGGGCTCGACAGGGGCCTGGGCTGGGGCTGGAATGGCTCACAGGGATTGATAACACTGGTGGGTTCACCTTCTACGCGCCGTCGGTCAAGGGCCGGTTAAGGATCTCCAGGGACAACGGGCAGAGCTCGGTGACGCTGACCATGAACAACCTCAAGGACGACGATTCCGGATCCTATTTCTGTGCCAAATATGCAGGCGCTGGTTGGGCTGTTGCTGCAAATCCTTTTGTCCCCAACCGCATTGCTGTTTCCCCACTTGTCCCCATTTTCCAGATTCTTTCCCCAAACCCCAGCCCCTGACGCCATTCCTGTCCCCGTGTCCCAGCTCTGAACTGGCTCTGCCCCAAATCTCAGCTCCTGGCCCCAAATCTCAGCTCTTGGTCCCAAATCTCAGCTCCCAGCCCCAAATCAGGGCCGGTTTCACCCTGAGCTCAGCCTCGTCCCTCCAATCCCAACCATTGCCCCCAGACTTGTCCAGTTTTACCCCAAATCTCCCCTGCTAAAACCGAGTCACAGCCACGGACCCAAATCTGGCCATGGCCTCACATCTGGAATTTTGGGCAAAATTTGAATTCTTGACCCCTCAGCTCAGCCTTGGGCCCACATCCAGACATTTCAGTGACATTTGGAGATCGAGGGCACTGAGTGTGGCCCAGAGGGGACATTTGGGGCAGAGCCAGAGCAGGGCTGGGACAGAGGGTCAGCAAGGGGGTTTGGGGGAAAGGTCTGGGGCACGGGGATGCTGACAGGGGTCCAGTGATTAGATCAGTTGGATCAAGAGCAGCAGCAGCTCCACAACAAGTATCACCACTACTTTTGGCACAGAAATAGGATCCGGAGTCCTCGTCCTTGAGGTTGTTCACGGTCAGTGTCACCGAGCTCTGCCCGTTGTCCCTGGAGATCGTAAACCGGCCCTTGACCGACGGCGCGTACTCGGTGTAGCCACCAGTGTTGCTGATATCTGCAATGTATTCCAGCCCCTGCCCGGGGCTCTGGTTCACCCAGAACATTTTATAGCTCCAGAAAGTGAACCCGGACCCTGGGCAGAGGAGGTGCAGGGACCCCCCGGGGGGCTGGAGGTCCCCCCCCCACCCCAGCAGAGTCACGGCCGCCCGGAGCCCTGTGGGACAAAGGGGAGATGGGGATGGGAAACCTGATTGGTCCAAAGCCCCAAACTGGGGGTGGTTGGCTGGAAAAAGGGGCCGGACCCACCTGGGAGTCCAAGCTGGAGCAGCAAGATGAAGCGGATGGGGAGAGCCAAGGGTCAAATTCTGGGTCAAAGAATCAGGATTTTGGGGTCAGTGGTTGAGCTTTGTCCATCCCCATCTCCCGTTTGTCTCGCAGGGCTCTGGGTGGCCATGACTCTGCTGGAGTGCGGGGGGGACCTCCAGCCCCCCGGGGGTCCCTGACATTGCTGTGCCGAGGGTCCGAGTTCAGATTCGGTGATTATGGAATGTACTGGATCCGCCAGAGACCTGGGCAGGGTTTGGAATACATCACAGCGATCCACTACAATGGCGTCACCATCTATGCGCCATCATTCAAGGGCCGGTTCAGGATTTCCAGGGACAACGGGCACAGCTCGGTGACACTGACCATGAACAACCTCGGCCCTCAACACCGACGGCGCGTAGTCGGTGTTGATACCATCAGCATTGATCCCAGCAACGAATTCCAGCCCCTGCCCGGGTCTCTGGTGGATCCAGAACATTCCAAAACTCCCGAAACTGAACCCAGACCCTCGGCAGAGGAGGCGCAGGGACCCCCCGGGGGGCTGGAGGTCCCCCCCGCACTCCAGCAGGGTCACGGACGCCCGGAGGCCTGCAGGACAAAGCGGAGATGGGGATGAGGCCAAAGCTCAACCCTTGACCCAAATTCTGACTCTTGGCCCAAAACTGGGACCTTTGTCATTCTCTTCCTTATCCTGGTCACCCTCCAGAATGAATCCCATACTTTTTTCCAACTGGCCAGGATGACTGGGGGACTCTCGACAAATCAGGTTTCTCATCCCCATCTCCCCTTTGTCCCGCAGGGCTCCGGGCGGCCGTGACCCTGCTGGAGTGTGGGGGGGACCTCCAGCCCCCCTGGGGGTCCTTGACGTTGCTCTGCCGAGGGTCCGGGTTCAGTTTCGGGAGTTTTGCCCTACAATGCGTCCGTCAGAGACCCGGGCAGGGGCTGGAATTCGTCCCCTACATCCGCAGCGGTGGTAGCACCTGGTACGCGGATTCGGTGAAGGGCCAGTTCATGATCGCCAGGGAGAACGGGCAGCGTCTGATGACGCTGACCATGATCAACCTCAAGGTCGAGGATTCCGCCAATTATTTCTGTGCCAAAAATTGTGATGATTGTTGTGCTCCTGCTGCTGGTGACTATATTGACTGTGGTGATGTTGGTCATGGTGGTTTAGGCCCTGCTCCCATCTTTGAGTCCCCCCTGTCCTCAAACCCAGACCCTCCCCCCAAACCTCAGCCCTTGACCCCTTGTCCCCATTTGCCCCAATGGTCAGCACTGACCCCAAACCCTCCCCTGCTCCTGCCCCAAAACTCAACCATTGGCCCCAAACCTTCATCCCTGGCCTCCAGTTGAGGCCTCCTCCAATCAGGGCACGGGAACTGGGGGAGATTTGGGTGAAATGGGCAAAATATGGGGAAAGTTGAGAGTTGGGGCAAAGATGGTGGAGACTGTGGAGGAAGGTCTAGAAGGGGGTCAAGGTTTGGGATTTGGGGCAGGATTTGGGGATTTTGGGACAGTTTCGGGAGCCAGGGATGGGGTTTTGGGGCCACCACCAGCATCATCACCATGTCCAGAGCTCCCAGAGAGGATTCCGGCCCAGCCCCAAGGAGCAGCCCCAGACACCGCGGCCGCTGAGGGAGAAGTGAAGCCCCAGGTGGGAGCATGGGGGGGACGGAGGGAGGAGCAGACGCCGCAATTTTGGGGCTCCGCAGCCTCCCCCCACTTCCTCGCTGGCAGCTGCCGGGGCCCGGCTGGGGCAGGAAAGGAAACAGAATGTTCCTGGTTTTGGTCACCGTGAACATCTGTGTTTGGCAGAGGGCAGCTCAGCCTCGGGGCGCTGCGGCAGAGCGCCGGCTGCACAAAAAGCTTTGTGTGCAAAGGGCCCTGGAGCGATCCCCGTTCCACACTGGGACGGAGGGGAAGGGTCAGACGGGGGAGAAATGGGCAAAATTGGGGGGAAACTGTGAATTGGGGAAGTGATGGTGGAGTTTGGGAAATGGTCAAGATTTGAGAAAGAGGGGTGGGGATTTTGGGGAAGGATCAGAGAATTCTGAGATATTTGGGAAGAGAGAGGAGAGGTCTCGGGACCACAACCACCATCAACACCATAACCAGCACCACCACCACCAAACTACTACTCTAACATTTGGCACAGATATAGGTGGCGGAATCCTCGTCCTTGAAGTTGTTCATGGTCAGCGTCACCGAGCTCTGCCCGTTGTCCCTGGAGATCCTGAACCGCCCTTGACCGACGGCGCGTAGTCAGTGTAACCTCCACTGTAGTAGATCCTTGCGACATATTGCAACCCCTGCCCAGGTCTCTGGCAGATTCAGAACATGTCGTAGCTTCCGAAACTTAACTCGGACCCTCGGCAGAGGAGGCACAGGGACCCCCGGGGCGCTGGAGGTCCCCCCCGCACTCCAGCAGAGTCACAGCCGCCCGGAGCCCCGCAGGGCAAAGGGGAGAAGGGGATGAAGGAAAACATCCACCCAAATGTTGATTCTTGCATGCAGACCCTGATGTTGCCCAAAAATTGGGACCCTTGGACCTCACCATCTTCCTCCTGCAACTCCTGCCAGTCATCCCGGGTGGATCCCACACCCTTTTTCCGGAATGGCAGCGCCAACTTTGACCGCACAGCCAATCCATCCCCTCATCCCCATCTCCCCTTTGTCCCGCAGAGCTCCGGGCGGCCGTGACCCTGCTGGAGTGCAGGGGGGACCTCCAGCCACCCGGGGGTTCCCTGCCCCTCCTCTGCCGAGGGTCTGGGTTCAGTTTTGGCAATTTTGCCATGAACTGAGTGTGCCAGAGACACGGGCAGGGGCTGGAATTCGTGGCGTACATAAACATTTGTGGAACCACTTACCACGCGCCATCGGTCAATGGACAGTTCACGATC